TTTTTCATTCAGTAAGAATTTTTCGTTTAGTAAGAGTTGTATGGCACTTGTATTACAATAGGTCATGTAAGTGCAGGTGTTCACCTGGGAAGAGAGGGTTTTTGTCTTTTCGTTTAGTTTTAGAAAGAGTTTTACAGAACTTGCAACACAATAAGGTCACAGAAGTGCCGAAGATTAGAGGTGAATTAGAGAGTAACAAACAATCAAAAAAAGGAGGAGAGATCAAGACGACAGGAAAGAAGGAGTAAACCCGACCAGAGCACCCGCCACCCACCTACTTGTTAGAATTTTTCGGCACCTGAACCCAATAACGTCATACAAGTACCGAGGATTAGAGAGTGTTGCAGGAGAGAAAAAACACAAAGAAGAAGGAGAGATAGTTTTAGTTGGTTTTATGGCCGTTGCTACACAATTATGTGGTATAAGTGTCAAAGGTAAGAGACTTTGAAAAACGTTTTAGTAAGAGTTTTGCGGCACTTGCAACAGAATAAGGTCATATAAGTGCCGAAGATAAGAGGTGTTACAAGAGAGTAACAAACACAAAAAGAAGGAGGAAAGATCAGGACGATAAGAAAGAAGGAGTAAACAACACCAGACCACCCGCCAACTACCCTCTATTGAGAGTTTTACGGCATTAGCAACACAACCAGGTCATATAAGTGCCGAACGTTAGAGAGAGTTGCAAGAGATACAAACACAAAGAAGAAGGAAGAGAGAATGTATGTTTTAGTAAGTTTTACGGCACCTGCAACACAATTATGTGATACAAGTGTCGAAGATTAGAGGTGTTACAAGAGAGTAACAAACACAAAAAAGGAGGATCTGCTATTCACAACCTTAGAGTGACAAAGTTTTGTCTATTTTGAATTAATAATAATAATAGATAGCATTTGTATAGCGCATATTCCCGCTCAACAGCAGGCTCTATGCGCTTTACACTATATTATTACCCCAGCAGACCATAACACTCCGAAACATTCTCAGCTTCCCGGGCAGCATACAGTGCGAGCAGCCGATTAAGCGCTCAAACACTAACAAACTGACAAGATCTTTCGCTGTCTATAGCCGGGTACCCATTCCCACCTGGGTGAAGTGAGGAAAATTCGTGTAAAGTGCCTTTCCCAAGGACACAACGTCGGGCCCCTGACGGGATTCGAACCCACGACCTTACGGTTGCGAGTCCGAGAGCCTAACCACTAAGACCATTATTAAAATCGTTAAGATTTTTCCTAGTCGCAATCAAAATATTCAAAGAATTGCATACAACAAAGCCTAACCTTGTTGAGCAACTCCAAATTTTAAAATTTAAATTTCTCAAAAATAGGTACTGAGCAGATAGAACTTTGTAACTTTAGGGAAGCGTACTGGCACCCTGAAAACCACCAACACCGACGTAAGTTTTCAGGCACAAGCAAACCCAATAAAGTTATATATGTGCCAAAGATTACAGGTGACACAAGATGGTAACAAACACAAAAACGGAGAGAACAGGACAAAAGACATTTGATAGTAGGAAAATAAAGCAGCAAACCACATCAAAGCACCCGCCAACCGCCCACACCGGCTGCATTGACGCTGCCTGTCAGGCCAAGCCTGCGCTGAATATGTGTACTCTCTCTCTCTCTCTCTCTCTCTCTCTCTCTCTCTCTCTCTCTCTCTCTCTCCCTCTCCCTCTCCCTCTCCCTCTCTCTCTCTCTCTCTCTCTCTCTCCGACAATAAACCACCACGGAGTAACACGTTTCTTAGATTGGGCATCACGCATCTGCCCACACGACGCCGCCTCCTTAACACAAGATTAATTAATTGCACATTCCACAAGTCTCGTTAATTTCGCAAGTTTGCGATATATCATCATCACACATTCAGCATTTTATTAGACAGAAACTAATAACACACTGCCAGCTGTAATTATACCCCCCCCCCAAACACGCACACACACACACACACACACACACACACACACACACACACACACACACACACACACACACACACACACACACACACACAAAGTGACAGCGTAGTGGTTAGGCTCTCGGACTCGCAACCGTAAGGTCGTGGGTTCGAATCCTGTCAAGGGCCCGACGTTGTGTCCTTGGGAAAGGCACTTTACACGAATTTTCCTCACTTCACCCAGGTGGGAATGGGTACTCGGCTATAGACAGCGAAAGATCTTGTCAGTTTGTTAGTGTTTGAGCGCTTAATCGGCTGCTTGCACTGTATGCTTCCCGGGAAGCTGAGAATGTTTCGGAGTGTTCTATGGTCTGCTGGGGTAATAATATAGTGTAAAGCGCATAGAGCCTGCTGCTGAGCGGGGATATGCGCTATACAAATGCTATCTATTATTATTATTATTATTACAGCAGTTTGGAATACGTTTACAATAATATATCATCATCACACATTCAGCATATCGCTGCTACCCTAGAATTACAAAGTTCTATCTAATCAGTTCCTAGTTTTGAGAAGTGTGACGTTCAAAATTGTGAGTTCCACATAACGACTCCGAATCATCTTACGATTTTTTAGAGCAGACAGAGCATTTTGTTTCTGACCTCATAGTCTTAGTAAGTAACTCAAAGGGGAGTGTATACAGACCCGGTAACCGGGAACAAAGTCACAAAGTATTCAGACCCGTAGGGGAACTCTTTTGTGATTTCGGAAAGTTTCAGCGCCCTCTTGGCTCAGGGTAGACCACAGAATTCTACACTAAGGTAGACGTCTTCTAGATCTAGATCTAGACCTAGATCTATTCTATGGTCTAGGTCTAGATCAAGACAGATAGACTTAAATCATTGATCTAGTTTCGAGGCTAGCCTAGATCTAGATCTAAATGAAGATTGCGGATGTCTTTTCGATGAACGATCGTTTTTCCTCCGTTTTGGAGTTGGAGGAATCACAATTTGAAGAAAAGAACAATGTCATAATTTCAATCGAGCAGTCCCCTCTCTATTTCTCTGCCTTTCTCTCTCTCTCTCTCTCTCTCTCTCTCTCTCTCTCTCTCTCTCTCTCTCTCTCTCTCTCCTCTGTCTCTGTGTATCGCTCGCATTCTCTTTTTCTTTGTTTGTCTCTGTCTTTCTTTCTCCCCACCTATTTCCCACTCTATCTTTCTCTCGTTCCATCCTGCCAACTGGGGCATGTCATAATATACATTTTGCTAGCACTTCTCTCCTCTCCTCTCTCTCTCTCGCTCACACACACACACACACACACACACACACACACACACACACACACACACACACACACACACACACACACACACTCACACACACACACACACACACACTACCGGGTCTGGGCACTGAAACTTTCCGAAATCACAAAAGAGTTCCCTTACCGGGTCTGTATACTTCGTGACTTTGTTCCCGGTGACCGGGTCTGTATACACTTCGATAGAATTTTGTTATTCTAAGGCAGAGATATCGTACAGAAACCA